ATTTGGCCACAGTGATGCCTTAGTTAAATCCTTTCTTGCTGTGTAGAGATTATTAGCTCATTAAGAGGTGAGTATCCCAGTCCTTCTGGGACAGTCCCAGCTTTGACCTTCTAAATTACTTTTTGACATGTACAAGTCACAGGAGCCAGATGAGGTCCCAAAGGCAGAGGTGCAATGATCCCCCTAACGTGGCACAGACCAACTTTGTTCTGGGGGACACAATGCCTAAAAAACCACAAGATTTTTTTGAAATGCCTGTGTGTCTGAGAATGAGTTAGGACTCTTGGATTATCTTCTTTACCTTCCCTTTACAACTTCTATATAATTTCATAGAAGTGCTTTTGACTGTCCTGTATTTGGTTTTCCTCATCAAAACCAGTGTCCATGAGTCAGAAAGGGTTTATAGCATCTTCTTATCACACAGCAGGTCTCAAGACACCTCAGTAAAAGTAGTGTCAGGTACTACAAAGATCTCTGGCTTTTTGTAACAGGTGAGAAAGGGAGGGAGTGCCAATGATACAGCTCCTCTGCCTTGCACTTGCCTGCTGTCACTGGCATGACTGCATTGGAGCACAAGCAATGTAAAGCACCACGAAGGACTTACCACCTTTCAGGGCTGAAGGGAAGGGAGAGAGAACTATGTTTTTTACACTGCAGAGCTTTTCTCAGTGTTTCCTTTTGTCTCTTTAGGAAAGTTCAGTGTGTCTCTGAGGCTCCCACCCTGGTCATAGCAGTACCCTGCAAGCTATTACCCGCTCTGACCTTGCTTGGCTAGCTGGCGGCAAAAGGCGTATTTTCTGAATGCTCCTATCTTGCAAAACACACAAGGTCTTAGAAGCTTGAAAACAGATTAGCTAAAGCAGAACCCTAAATCCTGAAGCCCTGGAAAAAAGGCTCACTGAAGCATTTGGATCAGCAGTGGCTGGGGACGTCTTTTACTGTGTGAGATAGAAAGGACAGTGAAGGTGAGAACAGCAGCATGGAGTGCAGCTGCAGTGGCCAGGAGGGAGGAACAGCAAGTGTATATCCCTAATTTATAATACAAGCAGGAAAAAAATCATGAAGAAGGGGATTTTTCTTTGTCCTACATCTCCACCCTGCATTTCTGCAAGCCTGAATTGAAGGGATGAGGTTGTACTGTTTTGAGCAGTATTACTGACTACCTATCCTCACAAAATTGGAAGAAATAAAGTAAAATCCTACTTCAATGAATTTCAGGGTTGGGTTTGCAAGCTAAATCCCTGGAGCTAGGATTTTGCTGGATGGATGGACCCAGAAAGCCAACAGTAGGGAATAAACCAACAGCAAGTGTTTCCACTTAATTATCTCTTTCTTTGCCTCAAGTTTTGGGCCAGTTGTGAAGGTTGTTTAAACAATATAAGCACCTGTCAGGGTGGATAGGCAGTGAGCCCTACCAGTTCATTCCTCAGAAAGCTTTCAGGGAAATATCTCTGGGACAGTTAGCTGGGGGAAACATTGTACTCGTTTCTTGAGCCAGGGCTGAGAAGCAGCAACAGAATGGGTGAAGGAGTCAATGGCTAAGTAATCAGAGCTGGGAGGTTGAACCTTGCAGTCAGCTTATATCAGAGACTAACAGATGCCAGCTTTGCCAGGAAATGAGATATCTGAGCTGAAAGGCAAGTGTCTCAGGATTTAGTTCAGACCATCTTTCCCTCGTGTGACACTGCCCACAGAAACACATGTGCTGAAACCACAGGCAGTTAAGGGGGATCAGGAAGACACTAGGCTATGCAGGAAGAGACCACAAAATATCTCCAGTGAACAGAGGAGGGCAAAACCTGGAGTTTCACAGAGAAGCCTGTGAAATGTCTTTGCTCCTCTTATCCTTCCCTCCTGAGGGGAACTGCTCTTTCTCCTACCCTGTGAAAGAAGATCTGACATGCACAGAAAACTTATGCCAGTGTCCTGTAGAAATGGGCCTTCAACAAAACTCAGGTTGCCCAAAGGCATGGGAACTGCAGACTATACTTTTCTTGACAGTGAGCCTGCCCCAAAATTCCAAATTTAAAATATTATCTGAGAGTGGATGGACACACTTTGAAATTCCAAGGAGTTTTGCTTCTGGGGTTGAGATGAGCACATCTCAGTGTGCTGCTGTTAGCACTGAGAGATGATGAAGAGAAAGGCGCAACACTTAGGCCTTTGTCAGATTGTGGGAGCATCTGCTTCAGTCCCAGCTCTGCTGTTTCCCAGGGGAAAAAACCAAAGCAGTTCTGCTCAGATTCAAGTGTTTAACTGCTTCTCTGAAAATCCCAAAACACATGAATACAGAATTTTAGACCTGTATTGGCAGGACTGCAAAGAGAACATCTGCTTTGACTAAAGTTTATTGGAATTAAGAATTTTAGGTGATTGAGGTAGTTGTTCTGACTTTGAGGAATTCACCATTACTTCTGCCTTGGTGAACAAGGTGTCCTGAATTTCATATAGATGCAGCTAGAGCTAGAGGACCACAGAAAATATCCACTAGATTTAGTTCTAGCAGCCCCACTGAGGTTCTGAGTGGAGACACAAAGAGTTGGACTCTCTGGTGACCATGACACCCAGGGCTGGTCTGATGGAAGAATTCCCTTTGATGCAGAGGTGAAGCCTAAAAATCACAAATATTTGCTACTCATGCCACAAGCAGATAAATGAGATTCATGTGGGGCTAACGAAACAACAATTTTTGTGAACAAGAAGCATTTTTTATCCTTTTTTGACAGGAAAAAAAAGAGGAGAAAATGAAAATTGGATTGTACCTATTTTTAGGCAGATTAAAAAGTTATTCAGACTAGAGAAAAAGCGCATCAAAAATAGCTTGAGCAATATCAAAGTGGAGCAATTGCTGAAGACCTACAAGAATAAAGGAGGTCAGGATCCTCAGAAGCCAATTTTTGAAGTAGCTGCGAACGTTTCATTTTCACACCCTGTCTAATGTGCTCCTGCTTTAAAGCGCTTTGTGACACCAGTGAAGCCTGCTCCTGCACCCCAGATCCATAGGAGTCCTTCAAAGGCAAGCAACCATCCTAATGTATGCCTAATCATCCCACAAACTTGGTTTTGTGTTTTACATCCTAAACATTCAGCATAAACCTAACCAGCCATTGCCACCCACTGTGACACAAGACTTGTGTCTCCCATTAAAAGCAATTCAGACTTACCTCTCCCTCTAAAAATGACTGCCCCTGAAGTCTGCCTCTAAGAAGTGTATTTTGGAGGCTTGTCTTGCTTCAGCTTTTACCCATATTCCTCAGGCTTTGTCATTAGGACTTTAATTTGACAGCAAATGTTGAACTTCTGAAAAGGCTTTGGAAATAACAGATGAGAAACAGACAGATTTGGAAGCTATTACCCAGAGGCTTTCAGTCAATATGTTGTAGGCTGTTCAGGTGGGAAGTGAAAGCTGACATAGAAGTGAAAGGATGTGTGCTCCTAAGTCACCCAGGAGATGTGTTTAATCTGCCCAGAAAGTGTTCTAGTACCTGTGCCTGGGGGTATTTAAAAGACATGTAGATGTGATGCTTAGGGGCATGGTTTAGTGGTGGACATGGCAGTATTTGATTAATGGCTGGACTCAATGATGTTCAGAGTCTTTTACAACCTAAATGATTCTATGACTCTGCAATTGCTAAGTGATGCTCACATTTTACCCCAAATGTTGAAACAATCCGAGACATGCAATTAAATGGAAACAATTGCATTAAGAAGGGATATTGTCTCTTCCCTGGAGTGGATGGAGCAAAGCTGTGATGGAGCAGCATGCAAGGAAAAGACCTGATAAGGCCACTTGTCTGCACATCATTTTGGCAGGGGGAAGGGAGCCGTGCCCCCTGTCAAGCTCTTCTCTGCCAGCCCTTCAGCAGGCCTTTTCCAGTGGATCCATGCCAGCCCCAGGGCTGGCTTGTGGCCAGCTGGCCTGCCTCCACCTGCCTGTTGCTGCCAGTCATGGGTCAGAGGTGACACCGTGGTCAGAGCAGGGAAGAGCTGAGGGACTGTGCCTCTGAACTGCACTCCCCCAGCAGTGCTGTGCAGGTGATACAGCAAAGCAGCAGCTGGTGCTCAGCTCCCACAGAAGGAGGAACTGGCCACCATCCCTGGGACATGAAGAAGGAGGAATATTCACGACAGCTTGCTGGGAAATGCAAGAGGGTTATGTGAAAAACCAGCTCCAGTCCAACAGGCAGGCCCCAGAAAGAGTGGCTGGTGATGATGGTGCCGTCTGACCATCCTCTTGAGGAGAGCCCTGCCTCCTGCCCCAAGACACTGGCTTGGGCACATGCCTCTCACCCATCAGCCCCCTTAGCACGATAAGGTTGAACCACTTGGCAGCAATGCATGTGGCTTGGGAACTGCTGTGAAAACAGGAGGCTGCAACATAAGCTTCCCTCTGCTTTTGGATTGCAGGTCCAAGGGCCAGCGATTCTCCTGCTGCCCCACAAGCAAAAAATATGCTTCAGAGAGCACCTTGAATGTCAGCTAGCAGCTCCAAATGGTGCTCCAGGCAGGAGAAAGAAGTCCCAGGAGTGTTCACCTCCTTTGCTGCTGAGGAAACAGGACTTTACCTCTAGTGGTGCAGATGAGGCTCTGAAACTGTTTAACCTGAGATCTGTTATCAAAATCTTAATCACTGTGATGCCCAAAGGGATATAAAGAGAGATACCCTTATTATAAATTGCAGTAAATACCTTCTATTTTTGTCAATTCCTAGTAGGACAACCTGTGCCTTGACTCCCTGTGTGAGTGAAGTCTGTCCCTTCTCAAACCCTCCCTGCATATTCCCAGGACTGACATCTTCCCCTCCCTCCCTCTTGCCCACTCTGTCTCTCTCAGATGATGCAGAGTGCCAGCAAGTCCCTCAATGGTGTCATATCTGTCCTTTTTATTCATTGCAGGGTTTATTTTTAGCCTGAAACAACTGCTTCCTAAAAATGGAGTTCCTAATGACACGGGAGCTGGACACAGCTATGTAAGGTATCCAGGGCTTGGCCTGACAGCTTCTCCCGTCTGTCTCTCTCTTTGTTGTGAGTACAGGACAGCAAAGTTTGCTGCTCCCCACCAGCCTTGCAGTGTTTGGGCTCAACTCTAGGAAAGCAGCAGAGAGAAACTTAGAGAAACTAGGAGAAACTTAGTTCAAACTTTACCTGGAGTCCTTGGTCTCCCTCTCTTCTCAAATCAAGAAAGAGGGAGACATTTCCCACCCTTTGCTGCACTCTAAGGGTGCCCCTATGAAGGCAATTTGCTGGATCCTGGCAGGTTTTTACCTGCTTTTCTGCTGCAAGGCAGAAGAGGGACTGAACTTCCCTACTTACGATGGGAAAGACCGAGTGATCGACCTGAACGAGAAGAATTACAAGCAGGCACTGAAGAAGTATGACATGCTCTGCCTGCTCTTCCATGAGCCTGTGAGCTCCGACAAGGTCTCCCAGAAGCAGTTCCAGATGACAGAGATGGTGCTGGAGGTAAGTGCCGCTGCATGTCCCAGTCGGGGTCAGTACCACATCCCAGAGTTGTGGAGAAGAGCCACAGGACTCTAGAGGGAAAAGGTCTCATGCAGGGGAGGTTGGGCATCCAAAAGTTTGTTTGGTTGGATTTCAGTTAGCCCCTGCCTGAATTCTGCAAAGCCCAGGGAAAAGCCTCTTTTGTGCTCTTCTCAGTTTGCTGGGAAACAGTTTTTCTGGATTGTCTGTCAGAAATTCAGGCAATAGCAAGTAACCTTGCAAACCTCAGAAACATGAACTCAGCTCAGCTCAGCTTTCCCAAATCTCAGCACCTGAATCCGTAGCTTGAAATTTTTTGATCCTTTCTCATTCTGTACAAGCCAGTATCCCACTTGTATTCTGGATTGAGTCCCATTTTTTATCCCACTAGCAGCAGTCAGCCAAGAAACCTTATCAAGCTGTGCAGCAAATGGGCATCCTAGCTCCCCATCTCAAAAGATCCCTGCTGGTGCAGCAGCATTAAATCCCTTTTTGTTTTTTGACACTTGGTTGCCTGCTTGGAATCAGTCTATAGCTGCTTGTTAATGCAACCATTCTCCTCTGTGCTGGAAAAAGAGTGTTGTTAATTCTTTCATGAACGAATGATTCATTAATCCTCAGTAAAATAAATCGTGGCAAAAGTGACAATGTAGATTTGTAGCATTCTTTCTTGTATTGTAGCTGTAATCCAGGGAATCACACAGCTGCAATCCTCGATTGTTAGGTGCATATTTCTTACCAGGAGCTTGCAAATATTGCCTCTTAACTAAAAGACATATTTGAAAAGAAGGTGAATTCAGAATTGCAGAAGAAACACTTCAGCTTTATTTGTCAGATCCAGAGAGAAAATGCATTGCACCCCTGAGAGTGTAGGAAACGTGAATAAGAAAATATGCTTGCTGAGGGATAGGACCCAAAAAATTCAGTGTCAAGTTGAAGGTCTGCTGACCTCCTCAACAAGCCTGATGACTGCCAGAAAGAAAGGTCCAAAAACTAACCAGATTGTACTCACCTGTCAGGCAAGGGTTACTTTCTGCAGGTGAGTGATCAAATAACATTTGGCAAAGAAAAGAAAAAAGTAATGTTTGAACTCCAGCTGAAATGAGTATTGTTGGTTGTATAATGACATTGTTGTTTAACAGGATAGCTATTTTGTGCTTGATAGGTGTCAAACAGTTACTAGATACATATTTATAGAAACCTGACAGAAGCATGTCCCATCCCTGGAAATGTTCAAGGCCGCGTTGAAAGGAGTACTGGGCAACCTGGAATAGTGGAAGGTGTCCCTGTCCATGGCAGTGGCTCTGAACTAGATTATGTTTAAGATCTCTTCCAACCAGGCCACTTCGTGTTTCCATGAATCTATGGTCTGGTGTCTACCATCAGTTTGAGTCCTCATGACACCATCACCCATGCTATCAAGGGTGCAACAGCTGCAATATAATCTGGCCTTAAGCTTTTATTTTTCAGGATTGGATTCAGCCATGAGTACATTAGTTTGGGATTCTGGTGATTTATTTGGTTTCCAATTGCTCTCTGCTATGGACTTCTTATGTGACCTTGGGCAAGAGACTGAGGGCTAGACCTTTACATAATTGTAGTGCTCCAGTCCCCTGGTGCTCAGCTTCCAGCTAATGGTGCCACACATCAACTGGCACTTGTGGCTTTGACCTCAAAATTTCCAAAGCACTTGCAGTGCTGATTCAGTGCATGTATCACAGTTTCAGATCAGTCCCTCCCCTGGACTGGGAACTGCAGCAGCAGCAATCTGACAGCCCAGGCACAAGAGAAATCTGCAGACTGAGCACTTCTTTGCTTCTGCCACCCAGAGGGAATCAGAAGGAGAGAGGATCTCAGAATGCAGCAAAGATATGTTCTATTCTGCATACGACACAGGCCAAAATGGTGCTACAGCTCCCAATTTCTGGACTAATTTAAGCCATGGGAGCACTCTGAGTGGGCAAGCCAGGTTGTAATTTGCTCCTTCTTGTGAGAGCATTCAACTCCCTCAGCTCAAGCCATAATGTGTTGTACCATAGGGGGTCACTCTTAATTTTCCATGTCAGAGCTCATTCAGCTGCTGGACTTCATGTTCACCAGCACAGGGGAGAAGGAAAGAAATGTCTGCAGTGGCTCCTTGACTGAGATGTGGAGCTGTTTGCCTGTGAGATGAACTGCCTGGGATCATTATTCCTGGAAGCAGTCAGCAGCTGAACCCAGGTCTCTTGTAATTTGAGCAAGCCTTAGAGTAGTGAGCTGCTCTGCTCTGTAGGCACAGGAGCAGTGACAGGGCTCTCCTTCCAGCCAAACCTGAGAAAAGTTCACTCAGGAAGGTTTTACATATCTAATTTCAGTAGAGGGGTCAGGACTTGGAGTGCTGAAGGTCCTTTACACCTGAAATGAAGTATCTAAGAGGTAAATACTCCTGCCCTCACTAATCCTTGCCAGCTGTCTTGGGAGGTTCCCAGCACAGGGTGCTGCCTCTGATAAGATGCTCCTTTCTAGAGCACCTCAAGTTTTTCCATCTAACTTTACTGACAATTCTCCTGCTTTTTCACACTGAGACATGCTGCTTTCACAGCCTGGCAATACAGTGTGTCTTTAGCCCCCTTCCATACAATGTCATCAGTGCCCATCCTTAGGAATAAAAGTGAGCCTCCATCCAACACACAGGCAGGTGTGGAGAAAAGCAAAGGTCTGAGCAGGTGGTTAAGGGCTGTTACATCAGATTGTCTCATGGACATGCATGGGTGGGCACATGGGCTTAAAGAATTTAATTCCAGAAAACCCCCAAATAGTCCATCCTTTCTGCTTCTCTCACATGTGCCTTATAAGAAATGTACAATTCCAAAGATCAAAGGCGTGAAGAATTATATTAGACACCAAAGAAAAGAGCAAGAGAGATCCACCATGGCTTCCTTGAAATATGTAGCTCATCAGTAACAAGCTCTGACTGGGGCCCCTCCCAGGAGTGAAGAACACGTGAGGCTCTCTCTTAACTGGCTCCTTTGAAATTCCATGGGGCTCAGCTCATATGGCAACATTTCCTTCTTTCAGGGCACTTCAGCCTTTTCCCTTCCAAGTCTTTGCTCTTCATAAAACTTGCAATAGCTTCATTACGTTTGAGAGCTCTCACTCTGGAAAATTTGGTTTAAAAGGGCCAACTAGGCAGCTGATAGGGGAGAGAGAAGAGAATCACAAGGCTCTCATTTACTTAGGAAATCAAGCTGACAACATGATAGCACATAAGTAAAGTTAAGCACTTATTTAAGGACTTTACTAAACCATAACTCTGTACAGCAGACCAAGAAGTGATATAATAAGAAAAATTTCCTTCCAAGAGAAGCATGTAGGACTGACTGACACTGTTGAAAGCTGAGGATGCACACCCACTGTCACCAGAAAAGGGATGATGTCATCAAGCTGATATTGCATTTGGCACAGCACATGGGGTGTTCAGCTCCCTGTATCCAGGTATACTGGATCAACAAATTCCCACACAGCCCAGGGTCATTTCCCAGTTTAGAAGGGGAATGAAGATGAAGATCATTATGAAGTGGCCCTAACAGCTCTTACCACCTACACTGCTGGGTGCCACCTGGTCACAACAGGCTCCAGGGACAACTGAACCCCTCTGGCAGCAAAAGCAGCTCTTTGGACCATCGTTAGTTCATGACAACAGCTCCAGGGGTGGCAGTGCCAGTCCCTCAGGTCCAGATTGGGAAGATGGAGGCTGTTGAGTTGGTCTGTCAGGAAAAATAGCCAAAGGACTGATTTGAGATGCCTACTGCTTTCTGGCTAGGATGGAAAAGAGTTGGGGAAGGATTGTTCTAAGACAATCCTGGGCAGAGATACCATGAGCACAGGCTGTTTCACAGCTCAGGTTAAAGGGTTCCTTTCCTTTGTGCACCTTTCTCCTGTGACTCCCCTCTGCACCACTGGCTACTGGAAAGCACCTGCACCTTGAGTAGGGAAAAGCCTCCATACAGGAAAATGCAGAGTTTGATCCAAGAAGTCCCAGAAATAACAGTAGCCATTCCTACTCTGTGGTGATGTTTGCAAGAGCTCTGCACACTCCATGAGGTAAGCACAGTGAAGAAGACGAAAAAGCCAAAAAATCACAATAATTGTTTAACAGACAAGTAAAAGAAAAAGCTACTTGTCCTAAATGGTCTCAACTTTCATGAAGAAGGGTTAAGAGGGGAAAAGATCAAAGCGGTGAACCTGAGAAATACCTGTTCTGCTTTTTTTCTACTCTCTATCTCCTCTACCATGTTTCACCCTGTCTCCTACCATCACTTCTAAGACCTTCTCCCTTCTCATCTCTGAATGTCCTACATAGGGAGTTTGGCCTTCCAGTGGGCCAGCCTCTGTCTCTAGGAATCATGTAGCAAGAATAAATGAGCACTGGTGTTAGGGGCTTTCCTTTTGCACTTGAGAAGCTCTCTCCAGCAGCTGAGGGGTTCTCACTGTCATAGCAGGCTGCCTGTGATGCACTCTGCTATCCTCTTTCTGCTGAAACTCCTCAGTCCCAGCTCCCCTGCCATTCTTCCCTTGCCATCTGTGTGCGTGTGTAATAGCCTTAAAAAAGAGAGGCTCATCAAGCCCAGATATTTCAGTCCCTTCAATGCAACAGTGCCCCTGGACTGAAAGTTCATGGAAAACTTGCCTAGCACAAGCCAGGCTGATAAGAGGAAAGAGAAGAGGGATGTGGTACTCCCCTCTCCAGATGAGGCCTAGGATCAGTCCAGCCTCTAGCAATAAATGGCAGAACAAAGTGAAACTCCTGAACATATTTGGCCAATTCTGTAACACATGGAAACACAGCCAGTATCTCCCTGTGGTGTGAAAGGGAAAGAAGGATTTTGAGTCCAGTAAAAGGCAAGGATTAAACTGTGTGTAAGCTCTACCTTCTAATTCATTTATTTCCAAGTGCTGAAACTACTGCAGCTTCCAGCTTAGGATGGAAAAAGTAGTACAAG